CAACAAAAATTCATTTTTCTTCACATGAATAATAGAAGAATAACTTCAAAAAGAAAAATAGCAGTTTTTCTTTTTCTATACATGTTGTTTCAACTTCTTGTATATTGTGGTAACTATTAAATAGTTACTACTACTAATTAATAACTTCTTGTCATATTATAGTAACTAACTAGTTACTGCATTTAATAATTAATTATTATTAATCCAAAACGAGTCGGGTCTTATCATAGGTGACCTTCCCAATTAAATTCAATAAGGAGGCTGATGGAAGAGACCCAATTTTAAATTCAAAAATATATACGAGGTTGATTAAGAGATTCATAAATGTGCAAAGTCTAGAGTTGGCATATTATGTTCGTATTAATTTAACTTATGGAAATTCTGAGGGATGGAGGAGACTCACTAGACCAAAATGCCAAATTATCCAATGATGGAGGAAAACTAATTTTGAATCCAACAATATACGAGAGGCTGATTGAGAAACTCATGTATTTAACACTCATAAGACCAAACTTGGTATATTCAGTTTAGGTCTTAAAGTTAATTCATGAAAAATCTCAGGGATCATCACTTGAATGTTGCTCATAAGGTCCTGAGGTATGTTAAAGGAACATGAGGATCATGTTTGTTTTACTCATGCCTATTTGAATTAAAATTTAATGTTTATATTATTAGTGACTCGACAGGATTGTTTGATACAAAAAAATTTATTGCAGGCCATTGTGCATTGTTTGAAAATTCACTAGTATATTTGAAATCTAAAAAGCAACAAATAGTTTTTATATCATTAACAAAAGTAGAATATAAAGCAATGGCCAATGCATGTTATGAGCTGACTTGGATCAAGTATCTTCTAAATAGTTTTTGAACTAGTCATTTGAAAGCAACAGTACGATATTATGATAAAAAAGTAGCCATGCATATAGTCACTAACCTTGTGTTCGATGAGAGAACCAATCACATTGAATTAGATTTTCATCTAATTAGAAAAATAATCTAAGATAAAGTATGGTGACAAAGCATATGAATAGCATACAACAACTCGCATATATCTTCATAAGAGTTTTAATCTAGTTGGTTGTTTTGCTTAAACAACATATGATTAAGATAGGAGCAGAAAACATCTACTCTCCATCTTGAGTGGAGATGTTAATGGATATTGGGCCCAAAAAAATAGGTCATGTTCCCAAACTCATAATAAAGGGGAGTCCAAAGAGAGGCATTTTATTAAACTTATGTAAAGGCAATGATGAGATATAAACATGCTGTATGTGTACCTGTTTTGTTGTAGGTATAAATACCTCGCTTTCTCTAAAACCTTTCTTCTCTTCTGAGGTAAGTCCTTCCTCTTCTATTTCGTGTAGTCCAGCTTCTCCTCTTGTCACTCACACCTTCCTTTCCACCCAGTGCAACCAAACATCTCGGTAGCTTCAACAGAAGCTCCTTTAGCAATCGAAACCAACTTGAGGCAAACTGTTTCAGGTAATTGTTTTCCTTTTTTAGTTTTTCAACTTCAATCGTTTACTTCTTTTGATTTTTATATTAAGATTAGTTTATTTAGATCTTAGGTTGTTTCTTAAACAAATCCCTGTGGTTAAAAAAATTCAAAAATCTGCAAATTCACCTTCAAACACAACTAACACTACAACTGCTGCACAGGTGCATTGCTAGCTATTTTCTTTTACTCTATGACTCAGTTGTTCATGTGTTTGGACTATTTAGGCTTTCTGCAGTGAGGTAAGATGGGTAGTAATTAATTTATTACAAGCATACATTTTTATAGATGCATTTAGACAAATTATTCTTTGAAAATACCTGTGTGTTTACTGTTTTTAATTGAAATAGTGTGTGCACTTGTTCATGCATGATTTTTGATGATTAAATGCGTTTTTGTTGATGTTTCATGATTGAATGATGTTTATGAATGATAAAGAATGGTTTTCAATGATTACAAAATGGATAAAACGAAAGGAAAACACAAATAAAGGTCCATTGCCTCTGTCTGCACTGCCCAAGCACCAAAATACCAGCAAAAGTCACAGCTTTTGTGCCTAAAAGCGCTAGGACAAGTCCCCTAATACGTTGCGTATGTACAGCACGCTGCACTTAGGCATGAGGTCCTGTCATGTTCCCCTGTTGCACTAAGAGGACCTACGCGAGGCACTGTGTTGGGTGAGTAAGGAGTGTGCGCGCATGTGCACAGGGACATGCACCCAAGTGCCCATTACACCGAGGCATATGCCCCCACTGGCATATTGCTATGCAACAAGCCTAGTGGACCACGGGGCACTGCCAAGCATGCACACTTTGATAGTGTCTCAAGGCCAAGCACGTTGTGCTGCGAGTGCGGGCATACAGGAAAATCCACCTGCCGCAGACTGAAGGGCGAAACGAGTAAAATAAAAAAAAAGAAAAAAAAAACGAAAATATTTTAAATGTAAACTAATGGAAAATTTGGGAAATGTACAAATAATTGAGAAATTTCTCTCCCATATGACTTTACAAATATCCCAACTAATGCATGTGTGGATCCTTTACATGACAATTAGGAGAATTGGTGAAGACCTATTTTTTATTTTGAGAGGCTAGAAAATTATAAATTTAGGTTATCTATAGCTTTGTAATTAAGAATTTGTAACCTTGTTACTTCAGTAAATTGACTATGTATTTTGTAAGATATGTATAATTTCACATTTTATATATGAATGCATTTTTATTTATTACTTAGTTAGACGTTGGTGTCTCGTAGGCAACAAGCTGTCACAATGGAAGTGTGGTGACAAATGATGTGAATAGCAGATAACAGTTTGTAGATATTTTCATAAAAGCTTTATTTAGTTAATTGCTTAAATAACATATGATTAAGATAAGAGTATAAAATATTTACTCTCGAACTTGAGGGGGATGTTAATGGATGTTGAGCTGAAAGACAATGATAAGGTACAAATATCTTGTACCCAAACTTTTAATAAAAGGGAGTTCAAAACGCGATATTTCATTAAACTTACATATAGACAATGATAAGGTACAAACATGTTGTATATGTACCTATTTTGCTTTAGGTATAAATACATCTTATCCTCCATAATCCTCATTCAAGCAGTTGATTATAAAACCTTGATATGGTTTTTTCTCTCGTGATAGTTTATTTTTGTGTCTTTCTGACTGATTTGAGATATTTTTTATTTTTTTATTAATTTTGTTAATAAATTTTGGTAAATAGTAAAATTTTGTAGTAAAATCTTATTTACTATATACAGAAAACTTTTTTATACTTTATTACCAACAATAATCCATAAGAACATAGTGCAACTCTCAGGTAAACCAAAAGAATAATTGCAAGCCTAGGTCCTTGGTTGATTGGCTTTCAGTGATATAATCTATACATAAGTTACGAAGCATGCGAACTGGCATGAGTTTTTTTTTCCTCACTTCTCTTGGGCTGGGTTCCTATGGACAGTTGCCAGGTGGTATGATATCAATCTGGTCGAGTCAGAAAGGATGTTTGGATAGTCAAGCTCGGGTAACCAAAGGAAGATAAGGGAAGCTGACCCGTTGAGCGGTGGAATTTAGAAGTCGAACCTGAAAGGAACTAGCATAGCTTCTACAATTAACCATAACACAATTAGCATCGCTTTTAGCGCCATGGCATACTCTCTGCAACTATCATTACCAACGCGAGTTTTCCGTTCTCCAAGAAAAATTGACAGGAAAAATCCATGCTATCTTCACATTGTTTTCTCTTCCTCGCAGTCCAACCCTCATGGAGAAGAGGAAGATAACGGAAGGTACTGAACCCCTACTAATTCTCCGTTTGGTTTCCTGAAAATGGCGAGGAAATAAAAGAAAGGACCATTTGCACTTTGCGATTCGCTCTCCGAAAAATTATAAAAGTACTCGACGTAAGCTAATGAGTGTTAGTGTAGTGGAAGTTAAAATTTCCTGCATATTCTCTGCAACCAAACCAAATGGATGACAAACATCGTATTGCTGTATGTGCTAGCTAGTTTCTTACAATACTGTGCGTTGTGTTGTTTGTTTTGTAGGGTTCAAGGTCAGGTAATTTTAGTGGAGAGATATGGCAATGGTACCTCGAAAAGGTCTGTACTCTTTGCCTCTTTTATCTCTTACTTCCTCTGTAGTATTTTACTTTCATGAATCAGTTGTCTACGGAATATGTATAATTTGGTATGAAAGTTGTTACAGTTAAGGAAGTCTTTTTTTCTACAACGGAAGGGACTAGGTTCTGAATTGATTCTCCTGATCCCGGTTTGAAATGCAGGTATTTGTTGAATGAGGAATCCCAATTACAAACTCTTGTGGAGGAGCATGACTCTGTAAATCATAGTATCCAGCTTTCAAAATTCTCGCGACTGGATTTATCCTTGATTCCAGATACTGTGAAGGATTTTATCTTGCCCGCAGGATTCCCAGGTGAACAATTCCTTTGCTTTTTTTTTATTTCTTGCCCTCGTTATTATTGAATTAAGGTGCTATTATTTTTGTAGTGTCTGGTCAAGGGAGTATTATGTAGTCTGAAAATGGGATTTTATCCTTTTCAGTTGTGTGTTCAAATTGGAGAGTCCAATTCATGGTTAGATTTATATTTATCTTTCTTAAATGGTTAGCAAGGACATCCATTTCACCAACATATAATTTATTATTTAATAAAAAATCATTTCTCAAAATTTGTTATAAATTTGATGTGGTGAATAATTTTACTTGATAATATTTTGAAATACAAATGAATATGAATGACTACAATCAGACTTTCCAGTTGAATGCACATGAATATGGCTTGGGCAGATTCTCTGGTAACTCTGGACAGATAGATGACTAGTTTATGAAAACACAGAATAAATGCCCTTCTCTGTGTATTGTTAGTGAATTCCGCTTTCTCACTCATTCATATATAATACAGGCTCCGTTTCAGACGATTACTTGGAATACATGTTGCTACAATTCCCAACAAATGTTACCGCATGGATATGCCATACATTAGTCACATCAAGTCTCCTAAAGGCACGTCAGTCTAACTCAGGCCAATAAACCTTTCTTTGGTATGTGTAGCAGGATTTATTTCTAAGTAGACAAGGCAGCTTATTAGGCATAAAAATAGGTTAAATTGTAACTTCTAGAGTTAGGATTTTGGAGTTAGGACAGTCTAAACAATCTCATAAAGTGACTGTTTCTGCTCACTGAGTAATAAGTCTCTGCGTGTCCTTCAGTCCACTTCTTGGTAAACTTTGACATCAAGTTTTAGCATTTTGAAACTATTTCCCACGCTTTTGAATGTTATGCATGGATATCAGGTCTCATCAGCATTTGAAATATAATCGTATGGGTAGGTTCATTGATAATGTTAGTTAAATGAATCATGTTTGTAATTTGAGTATGTCACTGTGATCAGCCTGCCTATTTTATGAACCAATTCTGTTCATTTGATTATTAGAAATGCAGTTGCATTTGTTTTTGGAAAAAGTTACTAACTATAATGAGTTAAAAAATACAGGCTGTTGGTGTTGGTTCTTTCTCTGGGACTACTGCAGCTGCCTCTGCAGCTGCCATTAGGTGCATATGTTGCGCAGTGGAAGTATATATTCTTTGCTGTATCGCAAATGATAGCTCATGTGATTGTTTGCAGATGGGTGTCTAAGGATGGAATTGGAGCTATCGGGCGCTTGTTCATTGGTTAGGCCACATAGGAACAGCTATTTTTGTGAAATGCTTATGCATCGATCTTTATCTGTGACTGCTGCTATCTTTTCCAGGAGGACGCTTTGGGAATCTTTTTGATGATGATCCTAAGCAATGGCGCATGTATGCTGACTTCATTGGCAGTGCTGGAAGGTCTGTGCAAGAAATTATTTTTTGAAATGGGAGAAAGTTAATAAAATTAGAGTTAGTACACTAAATCTTCTAGTCCATGTCCCAGCATCTTTGATCTGACTACCCAAGTATATCCTACATATTTTCTACCTTTGGCATCTCTAGGGAATCTCACCAAGGTATCCTTCCATTTCCTTGATTATAATATGGACAGGGAGTTTAATTTGTGCGTGTCTCTGAGATTCTGCTTATTTGACCAAATTACGTGTTTGAAAATAGGCTGTTGCAAGAGGACTAAAAGATCCTTCATTCAGAGTGATTCAGAACCATTTTGCAACCTCTGGAAATTTGGGAGAGGTAGCAGCTAAGGTATGACCTCATACATTAGTCTCTTGTTGGTATGCAGGGTTAAGTGGCCACGATAATGGTCCCGTGGATACCAATAATATCTTTCTTAGATGCGTTTGTCATCAATCCATCAAGAAAATAATTTTAAGGTCATGTTCATCCCTCACCAAATTATTATTGTAGTTTAATTTAATGGAAGAATTACTACTTCAATTCCTGAGCTATTTGCATGTTACAATTGGGTGCCAAAAGTTTTTTCATTACAATTTGGTTTCAACTGTTTTTTCATTAAAAATTTGGATTGATGAGATTCATAATATTAATTAAAAATATTGTAATTATTCTTAAGTACTACAAAAATTTGACAAATTTCGGAAATTCTTTTTGTTTTGCCTATATTTTGTTGTCAATGGAGTTTTAAAGTTATAGTAATTAACCTTAATAAATTTAATAAGAACAATTAATTTGTTATGAAACAATAAGAGACATATGACTACCATTTTTTATTTTCTTTTTCAATTCGTAGTTCTAAATAGAAACATTTTGATTTTTTAAGTTATTTTTTTATATCACCCAATAATATAGACAGTATTTTATTTTTATTTTTATAAAAATTTCACAAAGACATGTTTTCAAAACAATTTGGCAAGTTTAGAATCTAAATTATAACGGAAAAAAAACTTCAGTACTAGATCGTAGCGTAGCTCATAATTCAGGAAGTAAATTAATAATTTTTCATAATTTAATTTATTGTTTATTATTGCATATTAATCCTTCTTATTAACCTAAATCCATGTCTTTACTTTTGGACATATGAGGTGTCCCTATCAATTATGAAAACGATACCCACATTACAGGGGCTTTTGAAGTAACCATGGTTTATAGACCCTATATCTAAAGTCACTCTAACAAGAGGTCAACATATCTTCATGATTACTTGTCCAAATGTTTCAGGAGGAAGTCTGGGAGGTAACTGCGCAGCTGCTTGGCCTTGCGGTTGGCATACTGATCCTGGTATATTATATAATTTCCAACAACGGTTTCCTTTGCATTTCCAATTTTCCTTCTATTTTATGTTTTTAATTGAAAATTATCATTTTGAAAATCAGGATACACCTGACCTTGCGAAATCATATCCAATCCTGTCTGTTACATGGACAAGCATGCGACTTATGCACCTTTGGTTGCGTTATCGGTCACTTTCAGTTCTAAGATTTAATACAGTAAATATGTTCAGGATTCAGTTCCTTCTCCCTGATACAAGAGGTTTTCTTAAGTTGTAGAATCCCTGTGGGGAAGACTATAATACTTCAACAAGAGGGAACCTCAAAGGGCCATTTGCTTATAGTCAACTTTG